CTCTGCAGCTGCTCTTTGGTCTCTCTGCAGCTGCTCTTTGGTCTCTCTGCAGCAGCTCTTTGGTTCCTCTGCAGCTGCTCTTTCGAGCTTTAACCAAAACTGACATAAAACTGAATTTTATTAATTGTTATAACAACTAAAAGGACTAGTTTTAGCAGTTTTCCTGTAATTTTTTTGCAAATATATGAATACTAGAAACATTACAAATTAAAACATACTCACTTTCACGTTATGTTTTATTTCTTCAAAGTACATTACATAATTTTTCTACAATTTAAATAACCACATTAGAATGCAGTTTATTGTTTTAGTTTTAGAAACTGGGCAAAAACTATTTTATTTTTCATTCTTTACAAAAATCTCGTCTTTTATTTTTCTTAGAATGTAAAAATATCAATAAATGTTAAAAATCATTATATATATTTAGTTTAAAAAAATCACCCCTACTGTCCAGAAAAGAGCCTGGATGAGTTGTGTGTCTAACCAGGTGGTCAGTAGCTCAGGAGCACCACAGGGGACTGTACTCTCACCACTCCTTTTCACTCTGTACACCTCAGATTTCCAGTACAAAACAGACTCCGGTCATGTGCAGAAATATTCAGATGACTCTGCAGTGGTCGGGTGTATCAGAGATGGACAAGAAGCTGAGTACAGGGAACTGGTGGACCGCTTTGTGGCATGGTGTGGAAACAATCATCTCATCTTGATCGTGAACTAAGCAAAGGAGATGATTGTAGATTTCAGGAGAAATGGGTCCAACCCTATTTCCTTCATGGGAGAAGAAGTGGAGGTGGTGGAGAAGTATAAATACCTTGAGGTTCACCTGGACAACAGACTGGACTGGAAATGCAACAGTGAAGCGTCTACAACAAGCTCATAAAGAAGGCTGGCTCAGTTCTGGAGACTCCTCTAGAACCTTTGGAGATGATTGTACAAAGAAGGATTCTTCATCAAATGAAGAACATTATAGACAACCCTCAGCATCCTCTTCATCAGACATACAACATCAGAGGCTTCTTCAGATCTGCTGTAGGACAGACGCTACAAGAGATCCTTCCTGCCCACAGCCACCAGCATCTAGAACAACTCTTTAATGAAACCAGGATGATGAGTTACAACATTTAATTTACCTCTGGGATTATGAAAGTATTTTTGAATTGAATAAAGCTTAGAAACTTTCAATGGCTCAAACTTTTGTTGTACAGTTCTGTCGCTACAATCATTTAAAGCTGTCAATGTCTCCACAGCCTTCATGTTTTCTTTTCCCTTTCAAAGGACGGTGGTTCATCCGTGAGGGCTGGCTAAAGACTGTTCCTGCCAAAGGCACAGAGGCAAAGCCCAGGATGTTCTTCTTGTTCTCGGACATGCTGCTGCAGGCCAAGCGCTGCAGCCCACTGCATCCCACCAGTGGGCAGAAGTTCGCCGGCCAACACGCCTACCCTCTGCAGGACGCAGCTGTGGAGAAGGTGTTTGGTCACACCACAAGCCAAGGAGGTCTGCTCAGTGTGAGTGCCAGTCGTTTTTCTTCCAAACTTTGTTCACTTTTAATTCTTGTTTAATCGTTTGGCTTTTAGAACATTCTTGAGAATATGATTTGACCATTTTCAACCAGCAAAAAATTAAATGGCATTTATTTATTTGTTTGTTTTATTTATTTATTTGTTAAATTTTCACATATGGTTCAATCTTGGGTAGCATAATTTAAGCAGAAGTTTAAGTTTGGGTCTCCTCAGTCTCAAGCCTCCACAGTCATGGTTCTGACCCTGAATCAAGTGAACTACCGTAATTCTCAGGCTTTAGAACGCACCAGTCTCTGAGCTGCACAAATTAAATATAAGATAAATCATAATATTGTACATAAATAAGACATTACGGTTATCCACAGTTCATCGTCGGGATCTGTGCCAGCTCCGGCTGGTGCAGTTTTGTGTTGTAGTACAAGAACCAGCCAGCAGGGGGAGTTTCACACAATCTAGTTTTTCATCACTCACTGTAAGATCATCAGAGTCCTCCTGAAGCTTCACTCACTCCTGGTTACAACCATTACACTTCAAAATGAACACACTGACCCTCGAAGCATAACCACTGCACAGAGCAGTGCCAAACACCTACATAACTGAAATTATTTAAAGTCATGTACCAGTAAATATTACCCAGAAGTCTTATGAGGTCATGTGACTGCAAGTCAAATGGTACCAGTAGAATACGGTAAATATTTATTAAATTAGTACCATTGATTTTTATTGGTAAACATTAATGGCATCAGGTGCTGTTTTTAAATGAACTTTCTAAATAAATTTAACGTGATTTCTCCTCATCAGAGCTCATGAGGAGGAGGAGGATGAAGGGGGACCCCCCCCCCCCTCCTCCACTCACTATCATGCATGAGATTTTTTTTTTCGAGCGGACCGCTGCAGCGAGCTAACGGGGAAATCACGGGGGGCGGAGTATGCATTTACGTGAGTAAAAGTTGGTCCACGAACTGTACTGTTGTAAATAGCTCATGCTCGAAGGCTTTGGAGCAAATAACAGTGAAATGTCGGCCACATTATCTACCCCGAGAGTTCACAGTGACTTTTATCTCTGTCGTCTACATTCCTCCGGACGCTAATGCTAATGAATCACTACAGGAGCTTCATGATATCATCAGCTCGCTGCAGAGCAAACACCCCGAGGCTCTTTACGTGGTAGCCGGAGACTTTAACCACGTGAATCTAAAGGACTGTCTCCCAAGCTTTAATCAGCATGTGACGATTCCGACACGTGGAGACCGCACGCTGGACCGTGTTTACACGAACGTAAAAGATGCATACAAAGCCGAACCCCGCCCCCACCTAGGACTGTCAGACCACATCTCAATCTTCCTGGCTCCTGCTTACATGCCCCCGCTGAGACGCTCCAGACCGGTACAAAAGAAAGTTAAATGTTGGATCCAGGACAGTGGCCTCATACTGAGAGATTGTTTTGATCAAACAGACTGGCAGGTTTTCAGAGAAGCTGCTGAAAATGGAGGTTCGCTTGATCTTGACCAATACACATCCTCAGTACTGGGTTACATTAGTACATGTACTGACACAGTCTCCACTATCAGAAATGTTAAAAGCTACCCAAACAGAAAACCTTGGCTGAATGCAGAGGTGCGTACCCTGCTGGAAGCCAGGAACACTGCCTTCAGGTCTGGAAACTCAGAGGAGCTGAGTAGGACAAGAAAAGAGCTGGTTGCTGGTATTAAGAGGGCCAAGGCCACATATGCAAAGAGGATCGAGGGTCAATTCATCTCACAAGACCCTTGGAGCATGTGGAGGGGCATTAAGTGCATAACAGATTATAAAGGAAGGAGTGAACAATGCCCCAAAGACCCATCTCTGCCTGATGCCCTCAACAATTTCTATGCACACTTTGAAGACCCGAACAGACCACCCAGCACCAGACTCACCTCACCACCGGATGAAGAGCATCTCAGCGTGACCTCAGCAGAAGGAAGGAGTACCTTCAGGAGGATTAATCCGCACAAAGCAACTGGCCCAGACAACATCCCCGGAAAAGTGTTGAAGGAATGTGCTGATCAGCTCTGTGAGGTGCTGGCAGACATCTTTAACACCTCACTTACCCTGGAGACAGTTCCCACCTGCCTGAAGACTGCCACCATCATCCCAGTCCCAAAAAGCTCTACAGTGACTGGTCTGAATGACTATCGGCCAGTGGCCCTCACCCCGATAGTCGCTAAATGCTTCGAAAAACTG